TGTGCCCTAAGAATCTGAGGGCAAAGTATTGTATCTGTTGCATTGAGATATCACTTGCACGGAAGCAAGAGTCTGAAAAACCTTGGCAAATCAGCTTCTTCAAACCCCTGACTGAACTGCTGGCAGTTCTCCTGGAAAAATAACCCATGTAGGAAATCAATAAGGAATCATGAGTGCATAATTAAAAACTGCCAAATTGAAAGGATGTTTATTCTGAAAAATGTCATTGATTTAAAAGTATATATATGAAGCTACCTTAAGAAAAATCAAGTTAAAGTACTTAAAAGATGGCCCAGTCAGTCAAATGCTTGCTGCACATGCATGGGGGACAGAGTTCAGATCCCTGGTACAGCTGGCTGCAGCCCATGTGCTCTTGAATTTCTAGTCCTGGGAAGCAAGGGCAGGAGGGTTTGGGAAGCTTGCTGACTGACCAGTCTAGGTAAATCGGTGAGCTCCAGGTTCAGGGAGAGACCCTCTCTCCAAAACTAAGATGGAAAGTGATAGAGGCATGTACCTGATGTTGCTCTCTGCCCTGACATACATGTTCACAAACACATAAAAGTAATAAAAAGTAAATAAAAAGCATGCTTACATTCGCCATAAATTGAAATCAGAAGTGTGTGTCTGTATGTGTATGAGTGTATCATTTATGTAGGAAAATACAAATCAATATCTTAGATCCAAGGTAATATTTGGACACAATGTAGAATTTGGCTGAAATCTTAATATTACTCTCTCTTTTTCTTTACTGGGTAGAATAAGAAAACAGCTTTGGGAGTGTCATGGTGTCTTTAAATGCAAAATATCTCCAAATTAATTTTAAAGATCTATTTTCTTCACCTTACAAACTTAACTGAAATATGTATTAGAGTATCAGACTGCGTTTATATTTTTACCAACATGTGCTTATGCATGGGATACAGAGCATGAAACTGGTGATGCTTTTCTCAGTTCAGAATTCATTTTCATTTTGCCTTTCATGCACTCTAGCCAAATGAGTGGGCAGTTATTTTGAAGGTTGACAATCTGCTCCAAATCCCCCAAGGAAAAAACAAAAAGATTTGCCATTCTAGTTCAGAGTATGGAGAACATGTAGACTTTAATAATAAAACAACACTTGAGGGGAAAATAATCCTGGTACTGCTATTTATTGTTACTGTAATCTTGGGGGAAGTTGTTGTTGTTGACTATGGCTTCATTTCTCCACTTTTAGGATGGGGTAGGGGATACCTCCCTGAGCTGTATTGGTGATTAATGGGTACATTGGACACTTTTCATGAGATCTCAATCAGTAGTATGTCTCACGACCTGTCCCTTCCTCTTCTCCGCTGCTCATGCTTGCTTCTTTATTGCCCCAACTTTTTTTTTTCTATTCAGAAACAAATAGACAACTGACAGACCCTGACTTCTGATAGTTATGACATCTAGGGTACCACAAAAACATCCTGTTTCCAGATCCCACGAGTTAGTTATTCGGCAATATGGGACTAACAGGAGCATCGTGGGTGTTACTAAAAGGGAGAACTGTTAGGTGAAATGCTCCATCAATCCCAGATACCCCACCACAAAGCCATGTGCCATCACTGGAATCTGTTGACCTAGTTACGCCATCTCTAATTCTATTCCTGATAGCCTATAATTAGGATGGTCTGAAATAGCCTGAAAACACTCAGTGCCAGCATTTATCCCAAAAGGCAAGTCGCAAAACCTTCAATAAGGCCTTTTTTTCTGAAATTTGCTTTTAAATCAACAGTTTTGACAATATTTCAACATGGAGAGAGACAGAAAAGGGGAAGAAAAGAGACACACAGTTGCTAGAGAGAAGGCAGAACAGGAGAGGGAAGGGAAGGGAGGAGAGAAGAGAAAGAGGAAGAAGAGGGAAATAATTTCTTTTTTTTCTTTTCTTTTCTTTTTCTTTTTTTTTTTTTTTTTTTTTTTTTTTTTTTTTTTTTTTTTTTTTTTTTTGTTTAATCAAGATCTAGAGTCAGCTCTTGGCAGAATTCATTAGCAGATATCTCAGATCTGTACAGAGAAGTCAGGAAAGTCATCCCAAATAAAACAACCCCAAATAAAACAAACAAACAGATATTCATATCCACACACTCTCTGCTTTTGTGTCTGGGTCTACTATGAACACAGACTCACTTCAGAAAGAACTAAGCATGAATATAACAGTATTTTCAACCCCAAATGTCCCCCTACCACCCCCACACACAAATAGAGCTCCAGAAACGCAACACCTATCAAATATTTCCTCAGAGATGCCAGATTGCTGGGATTTTGAAGAGTTCTTCATTTTTCTTCCCTTTTTGACATTTAGACAGATTGAGTTTGAGAGAGGAAGTGACTCTGAGTCCAGACTGCCCCACACCACTGTCAGAGGAAATAACTGAAGCAAAATGAAGTGATAATATACTGTAGAATATTTAACAGAGAGAGTGAAGCAGGGAAAATGGCAATCTGAGAATAGACAACTGGTCCCCAAAATAAATGCAGTCTCTTGTGTTCCAGCAGATGCCAACTGCAGCAGACCCTGAAATGGTAGAATTTTACCTTGCTCTGTGGGCTGTGTGTTGACATAGGATCACTTAGACCCCAATAGTCAGGGGAGCTGGCTCTTTCTCCTGTTTCTGCCATCATTTGTCACAGAGCCTGCCAACTTCCCTCTGTACCCCTTTCTGTGCATTCATTAGCGAGAGAGCTAGCAAGTGACTACCCTTATGACTGCAGCACATTGTGGTAAGAGACCTAACAAATAAAGTACAACCCTAGGCCCTGATGTCACAGCGTGAATGAAACAGGAACATCCAAGGGAGAATATTAGCAAGGCTCTTTGCATCCAGGAGAAGACTCATGGTGACTAGGGACATGGAGATTTCCTGCCCAGGAAAGATTTGATAAATAGGGTGGTGAAGGGAAAACACCACCCCCTTCTGTGAGTTTAATGAGAAGACTGTTGCCTCCTGGGGAATGGAGAAAGAATGCTGACATGGTGTCTTAGCATCAGGAAAAAGTCAAGACTTTGGCAAAACAAGCTTTCTTCACCTGCTGAAAACTTCAGAAAGATGAGCACCACTTGGAAGAGAGAATTATTGTAAAGAATTCTGCCACCTCTTATTCACCAGCAAGTGGATATTGGCATTTGAGAAAGGCTATCTTTTCCTCCATGCCAGGTACTGGAAGCCCTCTGTTTTCTTTGCTGGGAAATTTCCTCTTCATCTTTGGGCCAAGGCTTCCTCGTGACTCTGCTACACACCAAGACTGAGACAGGGGAAATGCCCCATCCTAGCTCTCTGTCTTCCCTATTTCTCTCATTCTCTTCCCACTCTTTCTCCCTTCTGTCCTTTCTTTTTGTCTTCATTTCATCACAGCGGAGAAATTACTAGGGAAAAATAGCAAGTGATGGCTAACAGAAATCAGCTACAAGATTTCCCTAGGATAATTATCTACTTGAGGGAACATACACATACAGTGGAGAGCTTTTTATTGAAAAAAAAAAAAAAAAAAAGGCCTGATTCCTAGATGCAGAAAATAAAGTGACTTTAAACTTTGGGTCAAGTTTCTCCAGCTGTGTAGATGTCATCAATGAAACGGTGACCATAATTTGTGCTAATGAGATACTAAGAATTAGGGACAGAGTGGACTTGGAAGAATGGTTCACTTGAAGTTCCTCTTCAACATTTTCACTAGGAGAGGTGGGGAGAGCAGGACATGAGGGAGCAGAATAATTGAGTCAGGGAAAGAATAGAGGAGAGCAAGAAAAGAGATACCATGATAGAGGGAGTCAATACAGGTTTAAAGAGAAATTTGGCACTAGGGAAATGTCCAGAGATCTACAAGGATGACCCCCAACTAACAGTCTAAGAAATAGTGGAGAGGCTACTTAAATGCCCTTCCTTGATAATGAGATTGATGACTACCTTATAGGAGCCTTCATCCAGTAGTGGATGGAAACAGAAGCAGACACCCACAGCAAAACACTGAGCCAAACTCCTGGAATCCAGTTGCAGACAGGGAGGAGTGATGAGGAAACAGGTCAAGACCAGGCTGGAGAAACCCACAGGAACAGCTGACCTGAACAAGGGGGAGCTCATTGTCTCCAGTCTGATAGCTGAGAAACCAACATGGGACAGACCCAAACCCCCTGAATGCGGGTTTTAGTTAGGAGGACCGAGCAGTCTATGGAGCCTCTGGTAATGAATCAGTATTTATCCCTAGTACACCAATAGACTTTGGGAGTCCATTCCACATAGAGGCATACTTTATCAGCCTAGGCCCTGCTGCAAATGATATGACAAACTTTGAAGACTCCCCATGGAAGGCATCACACTCCCAAGGGAGCAGGAAGGAGATGGGATGGGGGATAGTGGGGGAGACAGGGGAGGGGAGATTGGAGGGGAAGGTGAGGGAACTGGGTTTGACATGTAAAACAAGCTTTTTTGAAATTTAAATAAAGAATATTATTTTAAAAAAGCACGTGTTTTACCATTTTGTGATTTAAGAAAATGAGAGGGTGTGCATGCTGGAGAGAAGACTCAGCTACTAGGGGCCCTTGCTGATTTTGTAGAGGAACCTGGTTCCATTTCCCAATACCCATGTGACAATTCATAACCACTTATAACTTCCACCTCAGGGGATCCCATCCCCCTCCCTTCTGGCCTGGTGGTCTCACGTATGACTAAACATTCACTCATGAATAAACACTCACTCAGGTAAACATGTATTCATATCAAATAAATCTAAAATCTTGTCTGATGCTGTAGAAAAGGCTCGGTGGTTAAGAGGACTTGTTGCTCCTCCAGCAGAGCCGGGTTTGTTTACCAGGACCTGTGTCAGCTAGCTCACCAGACCTGTAATTCCACCTCTAGGGAAGCCATTGTCCTCTTCTGAATTTCCAGGTTTTAGACACACACACACACACACACACACACACAAAAAAAAAAAAAAAAATGAAAAAAAAAAAAAACAAAGAATAATATCTCTTTAGAAATAACAAGCAGACTTCCTTTGGCAGAGCATATATCAAAACTGGAATGATTCAGAGAAGATTGGCATGGACCTTGTGAAAGGATGACATGCAAATTTGTGAAGTGTTCCATATTTTAAAGTAAAATAAAGATAACAAACTACAACAAATTTTCTCTCCCAAAAAGAAAGGTTTACAAACAGCTTATCTCATGATTCTTAAAATGATGCTAGTTACCTATTATTTAATGAGTTGAAATTTTGTCTTTCATAATCACAAGGATTTAAAATATTGATGAAAATTACTTAGTATATCCACTTAAACTTTAATATAAATTATTTATGGTGTAATACATTTAATAATCAAATATATGATTTGAATTATCTTTCATACATGGGCATATTAACAAGCTTAGATGAAGTTTTAGTAGGAAACAGCCACTTTTACTAGAAGTTAAGTTAAATTTATTCTTTTAGATTTAAGAAAAACATTGGAAATTTTAAGATTTATTGATCATTTAATCATACTACTTTTAACACTTTAATTTATATTTTCCTCTTCTATTTTATCTTGTAAATTCATTATTTTAAATGGTTTAATTTTAATTATTATAATGCCTGCATAATTTATCAATGATAATTATAGGTCTTCATTATTTAATATTGTAAGGTACCAGATATGCTTTCTTTCTTTTAGTTAATTAATTTATTTTTTATTTTACATGTCAATCCCAGTTCCCTCTCCCTCCCTCTTTCCCTCCTAGATATGCTTTCTATATTTAAATCTTAATTTAATCATGAAAGGCAGATTAAGAAAGCCATATTCAATCATTCTAAAAATGGGCTAATCCTAAGCACCAAAGCTAAACTTGAACTCAAGTTTGTGTCTCTTTAATTCTGTCTTAGCCTTAACATATGGTATATATGGCATTACATCTTCATACATTTTCCACCATAAGTAGACAAAGATATTCCAAAGACAGGTTTCAACACAAAAGGGCACTAATATGGTAGATGGTAATTTTTTTTTAACTAAAATTCAAAGTTAACTAGATGTAAATGCTGTTCCATTACCAGGGCCCCATAGACTGCTCAGGCCTTGAGGGGATGGAATGAGGGTGAGGGGCATGGGAGAATAGGAGGAAGATGGAACTGGGATTGATATAAAAAAAATAAGATTATTTCTAATTTAAATTTTAAAAACTTTAAAAATCAAAGGTAATCTTATTTATTTATTTGCTAATGGAAATAATTCTGATTTGTGCCAGGAAATGCCCAGTGGTGAGAACAGAAATTGTTTGCTTTGAGAACATTAGATTTGTTATTAGTTCTACATCTTACATATTGTTATGATTTTCATTTTGATGAGGTTGTAAGATCTTGTCGTGGTATTCCCTTGTGCTCTGTTCTTGGACATTAATTATATGAAAATAGAACAATTTTCCCATACAAAGGAAAGGGATGGGACAAGAGAGGCTGACTGACAGTCTCAATTACTCTATTTCTGCGTGATACACGGGGCACTATTTGAACCTGTAGCAATTTTCTGCCATGAGGAGTATCAAAGGCATACTCCATGGATGAGAGAGAGGATAGCAGTTCCTGCGATTACACTGGCAATTGCCCATCTGCTTCAGAAGGCAGTGTTTAACCTGATGGGAATCACAGGGAAATAGTTTGATGATGAGTGTCAATGTTTTAATTTTTTTCCAGGGTGGGGACAGAGTGGAGATGGGAGTAGTTAACTATTTAGACTTACATCTTCCCTACTATCTCCATGGCATCGCAGAACAGTACAATTTTGAGCATCTCTTCAAAAAACAAACAGGAAAATGATACATTCAATGTAATGAATTAAAATATAGACTCCAAACTCTAGTATGGAGTGGCTTCAGGTATATGTCATTCTTAGTGTTCATCCATTCATTTTAACATCTATGAATCACCATTAATGCAAATGGTTTCATTTGGAAATTTTTACTTATATGTTATTTCATAGTTTATTTACATGTTACCTCATATATTATTCACATTTTATGCCTTTTAAACATGTGGATTTGGGGGATAAAATCCTATGTAGATTGAAAAGTGAAGGATGATCTTGTAAATTAGATTTCTCCTTTCTTATGTTGCTTAACTAAGGTGGCATGGTAATCTTCTAAGTTGCTATAGCCAAGTTCATAGTTTCATAGTGTAAGTCAGCCAGCTATGCAGAAATAGTATGTTTAAATGGTTTTTCTTTTACTATTGAAGAATTTCTTTTTTGACACAATCTAAAATTTTGTTTGTTTTCCTGACAAATAGTTAAGGAAAAAAAATGAAAAAAATGTGTCTTCCCTGCAGCAGTAAAACTTATGTACAAATCTATACAGCCATTTAGAATCTGTAATACCTAGCTTCCCATTAGTTCCTTGGGGGGACTTGACTATGTCAAAATTTAAACAACTAGGGAAGTTAGAGACAATTCTTCTACATTTTTCAACAGTTTCAGTAAATCCAAAATCGTCTGTCTTATAGATATTTTAATAAATTATTGGTACTAATTTATTCATACATCTAGAAAATGTTATATCTTTGAGTGGCCAAAAATGTGCAAAGAACTGCTTTGAGTTCGTGTGGATGCTTCAGTGAAAGAAAACAAAACACAAAATAAGAAAACAAAACATTCCGCACTCTCAAATAGTCCACATATTGGTGGGGCAAATAAGCACTCAGCAGGAGGAACACATCTCAAAGTAGACAGAAATAAATGCTGAGGAGAAAACCAGGAAGAGGCAAAAGTACACTGAGAAGAGGGTGTTGGAATTTCAAACACAGTGCCATTAAAAATCTGGAAGAAGAATGGAAGTGAACGAGTGTTATATCTACATAAAAACTATCACGGCATAGATAGTCTGGTACAGTCGCCATTAGCCCTACTCTGCAATGAGCTATGGAACCCACCATCACAAAGAGAGTAAATGATGCTGCTCCTAAAGGAAAGATAAGACAAAATTAAAGTCGCTTAAGAATGGAGCAGAGGAAATAGCAGTACAGAGTGTGGCCATTCTCTGTTGAGGGGCTGAATGGAGGAGAGCTGACCACAGGGGTCAGGGTACTAAGAACCATGCTGGGGTTTTAAGACACCACTTGAGAGAGATGGAAAACCTTTGGAATGTGTTGAGTGGAAGGGTGCCCTAATCTGATTTGCACTATGTCAAGGTCACTCTGACTGCTCTTCTGAGGCTTCAGTAAAAGCGTCAAAAGCACGAGTCCAGAGACCACTGCAACCATCCAGGGCAAGGGAGTGACAGTTGGGAGCAGTGGGTATCCAAGTGCAAAGTGGTAGATTATGTTCTAGATAGATACTGAAGCAAGAAAAAGGCATAGAGATCCTTTTAAACCATAGAGTCTGGAAAACCATGACAAGATGTTAGGATTTGGCTGTAGCACATGTGAATATTTGTTTCTCCTCCCTAAATAATTCTGATGCTAGAGCTCCATCTTGTCCTCCAGCCTGCAGTAACTCTGCATTCCCTAAAAATTAAGAATTACCATTTTGGTGTTGCATACTATTGATTATGTAATTGATAAACACTGGGTGACAGTGATAGAGAAATCCATCCAGTCATCCCTTAGGAAAATCAACACCCAATAACTGTTTCTTCCATACCATTGTGAAGGTCGCAGTCCTTGAGAGGGGTTTTACTGCTGGGCAGTTCTACTTGAGGAATTTTATGAATGCCGTAGAATTTAGCTAATATGTACATAATATATATGTAAGACACATAAAATGCCATTTCTGCTGATTCATCTACAGCATTTCACTTGCCATTCAGCAATCAGATTGTGATCCACAACTATTACCAAAACTAGTGCTCCAAATTTCTATAGCCAACAGAGTGGGAATCATTCCATGAAGAATACTATCTGAAGTTCCCATGAAATGGCTTTTGTGTTCAATGTCAACAATTAAAATGAACAAATATTGGGTACAGAGATGACTGATTAGACGACAGCATGGTTGCTCTTCCAGAAGACCCGGAACTAACATGGTAGTTCACAACCATCTGTAACTCAAGTCCTGAACATTGATATCTTCTACCAGCCCACACAAGGCCAGGCTTGCATGTGGTACATAAACAAGCAGGTGAAAACACCCATACACAAAAAATTTTAAGGTTTTCAGTGAACAAATAGAAAATTTTGTAGTTTTGAGATAAGGCAAATACATTTTGCCTTTATCATGTTTCAAATAAGCCCAGGTGAGAATTTTCTTCATAGTTATTTTGATTCTCAGTTTCTCTTCACTGCTGAAGAAAGTAATAATTGGGGCTGGACTTCAAAGGAATATGCATTTAGGGCAAAGAAAGGGTAGGTCAATCCAGCTGACAATCTGGCTGTGTGCTGTTGTGACTGCATTCTTACATAACTATGAAAAAATAGCATTGAATTTTCACATAAGTCAAATAGCCAATGAGATGGGGGAAAGTAAATTTTATTTTTCTTTAGGCATAGCCTCGGACAGGTAAAGGAAAACATGAAAGTGCGCATGTTTTCTCTTTTGATAACACGGCTCTAAAAGCTGATGAGACATGATTTATTCTGTTATTTTAAACAGAATAGAGCATTTACATTCATTTTGGTCCCACTCACTTAAATGTGAATTAGTTGATAAGATCTCTTCCCTCTTGGCAGAAAATACTAGCATGTATTTGAGCATAAAAATTTGAAGGGAGTACGAACAAAGACTGTAAATTTTGGTACTTTTCACTGTCCACTCTGAGAGTGGCAAGAACCTGTACAGAAAGAATAATGTCTGGAAATGCAAGCAGTTTTGTGATATCTGTTGAGGAGTATGATTTGGATACACTCTTCAATGTTTCTGTCTTTCCTTTGACTTGGGACACAGGGTAGTTAAGAGCATGATCATCAACTGTAAAGCTAATCCATTTCTTCCCCAGGCTCCAAGAAAATAACTTAATCGTCTTCCACATTTGGCTGAATAATTTTATAAAGGAAATAACGATGACAGACAAAGCAATGCAGAAGCATACTGAATGATGGTAAGCAACCTAAAGAATACATCTTTCCATTTTTCTTCAGCCAGTTCCCCTAATATTATCCTTTGGAACAACCATCATTAATTTTCATTCTGCCT